ATCGAGACACATATTGGCGTTTTCTGTGGCAAGATATGCGATAAGATGGGTTTCTGTTATAAAAAATACACTAAGATGGGTTTCTGTAATAAGACATTCACTAAGATGGGTTTCTGTTATCTAGACATAAAGGGGTGTTTCTCTGTCACAACACATACACTTAGATGAGTATCTGTAATCTAGATATAATGGTATGTTTTCTGTCACAACACATACATTAATATGAGTTTCTGTAATCTAGATATAATGGGCTGTTATTTGTCACAAGACATAACCTAAGATGAGTTTCTGTGATCCAGACACATTGGGGTGGTTTCTGTGACAAGACATACACAAATATGGGTTTCAATGATCTAGGCACATTGTGGTGTTTCTAAAAAAAAAGACAAACACTAAGATGGCTTTCTGTTATTTAGACACATAGGGGTGTTTTCTGTGACAAAACATACACTAAGATGGGTTTCCGTGATCTAGACACATTGGGAGTTTTTCTGTTACAAGACATACACTAAGATGGGTTTACGCGATCGAGACACATATTGGCGTTTTCTGTGGCAAGATATGCGATAAGATGGGTTTCTGTTATAAAAAATACACTAAGATGGGTTTCTGTAATAAGACATTCACTAAGATGGGTTTCTGTTATCTAGACATAAAGGGGTGTTTCTCTGTCACAACACATACACTTAGATGAGTATCTGTAATCTAGATATAATGGTATGTTTTCTGTCACAACACATACATTAATATGAGTTTCTGTAATCTAGATATAATGGGCTGTTATTTGTCACAAGACATAACCTAAGATGAGTTTCTGTGATCCAGACACATTGGGGTGGTTTCTGTGACAAGACATACACAAATATGGGTTTCAATGATCTAGGCACATTGTGGTGTTTCTAAAAAAAGACAAACACTAAGATGGCTTTCTGTTATTTAGACACATAGGGGTGTTTTCTGTGACAAGACATACACTAAGGTGGGTTTCCGTGATCTAGACACATTGGGAGTTTTTCTGTTACAAGACATACACTAAGATGGGTTTACGCGATCGAGACACATATTGGCGTTTTCTGTGGCAAGATATGCGATAAGATGGGTTTCTGTTATAAGACATACACTAAGATGGGTTTCTGTAATAAGACATTCACTAAGATGGGTTTCTGTTATAAGACAAACCCTAAGATGGATTTCTGTAACAAGACATACACTAAGATGGGTTTTCGTAATAAGACGTACACTAATATGGGTTTATGTAATAAGACATACACTAAGATGGTTTTCTGTAATAAGACATACACTAAGATGGGTTTCTGTTATAAGACATACACTAAGATGGGTTTCTGTAATAAGACATTCACTAAGATGGGTTTCTGTTATAAGACAAACCCTAAGATGGATTTCTGTAACAAGACATACACTAAGATGGGTTTTCGTAATAAGACGTACACTAATATGGGTTTATGTAATAAGACATACACTAAGATGGTGTTCTGTAATAAGACATACACTAAGATGGGTTTCTGTTATAAGACATACACTAAGATGGGTTTCGGTTATATGACATACACTAAAATGGGTTTCTGTTATAAGACATACACTAAGATGGGTTTCTGTTATCTAGACATAAAGGGGTGTTTCTCTGTCACAACACATACACTAAGATGTGTTTCTGTAATCAAGATATAATGGTATGTTCTCTGTCACAACACATACATTAAGATGAGTTTCTGTGATCTAAACACATTGGGGTGTTTTCTGTGTCAAAACATACACTAAGGTGGTTTTCTGTAATAAGACATACACTAAGATGAGTTTATGTAATCAAGACATATATGGGTGTTTTCTGTAGCAAGACATACACTAAGATGGATTTCCGTGATCTAGATATATTAGGATGTTTTCTGTAGCGAAACATAGACTTAGGTGGATTTCCGTGATCTAGACACATTTGGATGTTTTCGGTAACACGACATACACTAAGATGGGTTTCTGTGATCTAGACACATTGGGGTGTTTTTTGTAACAAGACATACACTAAAATGGGTTTCTGAGACCTAGACAAATAGTTTTTTTTCTGTAATAGACATACACTAAAATGGCTTTCTGGTATTTAGACACATTGGGGTGTTTTCTGTGACAAGACATACACTAAGATGGGTTTCTATAATAAGACATACACTAAGTTGGGTTTCTGTAATAAGTCATACACTAAGATGAGTTTCTTTCATCCAGATATATCGGGGTGTTTTCTGTTGCAAGACATACACTAAGCTGGATTTCCGTCATCTAGACACATTGGGAGTTTTTCTGTTACAAGACATACACTAAGATGGATTTCCGTGATCTAGACACATTGGGAGTTTATCTGTTACAAGACATACACTAAGCTGGATTTCCGTCATCTAGACACATTGGGAGTTTTTCTGTTACAAGACATACACTAAGATGGATTTCCGTGATCTAGACACATTGGGAGTTTTTCTGTTACAAGACATACATAAAGATGGGTTTACGCGATCGAGACACATATTGGCGTTTTCTGTGGCAAGATATGCGATAAGATGGGTTTCTGTAATAAGACATACACTAAGATGGGTCTCTGTTATAAGACATACCCTAAGATGGATTTCTGTAACAAGACATACACTAAAATGGGTTTCTGTTATAAGACATACACTAAGATGGGTTTCTGTTATAAGACATATACTAAGATAGGTTTCTGTAACTTAGATGCTTCGAGTATTTTCTATAAAAAACATATTGTCTGGATTCGTATAAAGAACTCATAATTTTAGTTTTGTAAATATAAACGCAAATGTTTCGCATTTTTCATTTTTTTTTTCAGTTTGGTGCTTTGACATCATGGATTAGTGGAATCTACTTTGAATTTAAGTATTGTTTAGATTTGTTTCTTGTATATTTACAGGCTTGGAAACGTTGGTGGAGAATCTCGCTGGTAAGCAGATATATTGTATCTTATATTTCAAACGTTTAACATTTCTTATGTGTAATGTTTTATTCTATCAACTTGTTATAACTGATATCCTTCACGCTGTGACATATACCAAACGGAGCTAGAAACAGTGGGAAATATCACTTTCGGCAGCGACAAAGAAGAAATGTCGTTTCTATTCACTGCGCATAAACCCGTAGATTTCCTTTTTAAACAAAACTGAAGGAAGACTGAGTAATTGTTTTGGTAATCTTTGCTACATACGTTAAGCTATTTACTTAATTCCATAAGTGATATTATTTTTAAAAGCAAATCTTACCATGTAATAGCACAAAACGGAAGTATAGTGGAAAGTCACGCATGCGTAGCGGCACACAACCATTTTGTCAAGCTGTACGTAAATAGAGTATGGTACCATAGATTAATTATTAATTTTGACTTTGAATCAGTAACATTTTCATTGCGGTGGGTTCTGTTAAAATGTTATCAACAGATAACGGAATTGTTTTATGTTACAGTTAACTCATATGGCAGAATATAAATTGTCATGCGTACTTTGCTTTCTTGAAAAAAACCCACATCGGTAGTTTGCAATACTTTTGAAATACATGTATATTTGGTATTCAACAAACAACTGCTTATATCCCCTTTTCCTGTTAAAATGTTATATAGATATACATATATTATAAGAAAAAACATATAAACATGTTACACACGCATTAATTAGCAATCTTCCGTTTCAAAAGTATTTCCTCTGAATGTCAATTTAGTAAATGTTTGTTTTTTGTTATGAATTGTTTATTTTCAACATGTTAATATTTATTTCTACCTCTGTAATATTTGCAGCTTTGAAACAGGCGGTTGAAGACTTTGGTGAGTGTGTGTTTTTTTCTAAAAAAACCATTTCATTTTGCAAAATATTTCTTTAGTTCTTCTTTATCAAACTCAGCAAAGTTACAACAAATGTTCAGTTTAACAGTAAATAGTTTTAAAGGGTGACGCAATTTTACTTCTTTTATTTTCTATTTTTTGGAAATATATTATGTGAACATAATCATGGGTAATTTAAGCTTTGAAGTAATATTGAAAATAATTTTATCATGTGCAAATAATTCTTTCTTTTACTGATTTAAATATCAAAGCCTATATATATTTTTTCAGGAGGACATCAGGCGTTGGAGGAGTATGTCTGTAAGTTAATAAAACCACTTTGCTCAATACATTTATACTGTCGGCAGTTTCAAATATACAATTCTCCATTTTTCTGACACATTTCATGTTATAACAAAGCAAAATAAACCCCAAATAACCGACACGTCTATTGTCCGTATTATGTATTTATCGGTAAAGATATTTGTTTCTTCAGATTTCTTAGGAGAGTTTGAAACTAATATGTTATTTGAAGTAGAAACTTAAATTGTTATGTTTTCAAGATTTGTTTGGATTGAAAATACAAATGTATTAGAAAATTCAATGTCGATATATTTTTCATTAGTGGTGATAAACGTTATAAACAACATGATTCTTACACATAGGACAGATTATATATCAATTTAGGTATCATAAAATAAAAACAAGAAATGTGAGAAGATCTAAACTGAAAAGGGGCTTGGACTTGTATACATTTTACTTGGTGACGAAGGACTTAAATACGTTTGACTTAGTATTATTGGACAAAGCTAAAATGAACTTAGATACATTGGACTAAGCTTAGAAAATAGACTTAGCTAAATTAATGGACTTAACTTCATTACACTTATCTACAATGGACTTAGCTAAGATGGACCTAGTTACAATGAACTTAACTACGATGGACCTAGTTACAATGAACTTAGCAACGATGGACCTAGTTACAATTGAATTAACTAAGATGGACCTAGTAATAATGAATTTAACTACGATGGACCTAGTAACGATGGACTTAGCTACGATTGACTTAGTTACAATAAACTTAGGTAAGATGGACTTAGTTATAATGAATTTAACTACGATGGACCTAGTAACGATGGACTTAGCTACGATGGACCTAGTTACAACGAACTTAACTACGATGGACCTAGTTACAATGGACTTAGGTACGATGGACCTAGTTACAGTGCCTTAACTAAGATGGACCCAGTAACAATGGACTTGGCTACGATGGACCTAGTTACAATGGACTTAACAACGATGGAACTAGTTACAATGGACTTAACTACGACGGACCTAGTTACAATGGTCTTAACTACGATGGAACTAGTTACAATTGACTTAGCTACGATGGACCGAGTTGCAATGGACTTAGCTACGATGGACCAAGTTACAATGATCGACTTAACTACGATGGACCTAGTAACAATGGACTTAGCTTCGATGGACCTAGTTACAATAGACCTAGCTTCGATGGACCTAGAAACAATGAACTTAGCTACGATGGACCAAGTTACAATGGACTTAACTACGATGGACCTAGTTACAATGAACTTAGCTTCGATGGACTTAGTTACAATGAACTTAACTACAATGGACCTAGTTATCATGAACCTAACTACGATGGACCAAGTTACAATGGACTTAACTACGATGGACCTAGTTACAATGAACTTAACTACGATGGACCTAGTTACAATGGACTTAGCTACGATGGACCTAGTTACAATAGACTTAACTACGATGGATCTAGTTACAATTGACTTAGCTACGATGGACCTAGTTACAATGGACTAATCTCAGATGGACCCAGTCACTATGAACTTAACTACGTTGGACCTAGTTACAATGGACTTAGCTACGATGGACCTAGTTACAGTGCCTTAACTAAGATAGACCCAGTTATAATGGACTTGGCTACGATGGACCTAGTTACAATGGACTTAATTACGATGGACCTAGTTGCAATAACCTTAACTACGATGGACTTAGTTACAATGAACTTAGGTACGATGGACCGAGTTACAATGGACTTAGCTACGCTGGACTTAGTTACAATGAACCTAGCTACGATGGACCAAGTTACAATGATCGACTTAACTACGATGGACCTAGTTAAAATAGACTTAGCTTCGATGGACCTAGTTACAGTGAACTTAACTAAGATGGAACTAGTTACTTTGAACTTAACTAACATGGACCTAGTTATAATAAATTTAACTAAGACGGACCTAGTTACTTTGAACTTAACTAAGATGGATCTAGTTATAATGAATTTAACTACGATGGACTTAGTTACAATGAACTAAACTACGATTTACCTAGTTACAATGGACTTAGCTACGATTGACTTAGTTACAATAGACTTAGGTAAGATGGACATAATTATAATATACTTAGCCACTAAGGACCTAGTAACTATGGACTTAACAACGATGAACCTAGTTACAATGAACTGAACTAAGATGGTCAAAGTTACAATGGAGTTAGCTACGATTTACCTAGTTACAATGGACTTAGCTATGATGGACCTTGTTACAATTGACTAAGCTACGATGGACCTAGTTACATTGACTTAGCCACGATGGACCTAGTTACTATGAACTTAACTACGTTGGACCTAGTTACAATGGACTTAGCTACGATGGACCTAGTTACAGTGCCTTAACTAAGATAGACCCAGTTATAATGGACTTGGCTACGATGGACCTAGTTACAATGGACTTAATTACGATGGACCTAGTTGCAATAACCTTAACTACGATGGACTTAGTTACAATGAACTTAGGTACGATGGACCGAGTTAAAATGGACTTAGCTACGCTGGACTTAGTTACAATGAACCTAGCTACGATGGACCTAGTAACAATGTACTTAGCTTCGATGGACCTAGTTACAATAGACTTAGCTTCGATGGACCTAGTAACAATGAACTTAGCTACGATGGACCAAGTTACAATGGACTTAACTACGATGGACCTAGTTACAATGGACTTAGCTTCGATGGACTTAGTTACAATGAAATTAACTACAATGGACCCAGTTATCATGAACTTAACTACGATTGACCTAGTTACAATGAACTTAACCACGATTGACCTAGTTACAATAGACTTAACTACGATGGACCTAGTTACTTCGACTTAACTACGATGGACCTAGTTACAATCGACTTAACTACGATGGACTTAGTTACAATGAACTTAGCTACGATTGACCGAGTTACAATGGACTTAGCTACGCTGGACTTAGTTACAATGAACTAAGCTACGATGTACCAAGTTACAATGGACTTAACTACGATGGATTAGTTACAATGGACTTAGCTACGATGGACCTAGTTACAATGGACCTTACTACGATGGACCTAGTTACAATGAACTTAACTATGATGGACCAAGTTACAATGAACTTAACTACGATGGACCTAGTTACAATGAACTTAACTAGAATTGACCTAGTTACAATGGACTTAACTACGATGGACCTAGTTACAATTGACTTAACTACGATAGACCTAGTTACAATGAACTTAACTACGATTGACCTAGTTACAATGAACTTGACTAGAATTGACCTAGTTACAATGGACTTAACTACGATGGACCTAGTTACAATGGACTTAACTACGATGGATCTAGTTACAATGGACTTAGCTACAATGGACCTAGTTACAATGGACCTTACTACGATGGACCTAGTTACAATGAACTTAACTATGATGGACCAAGTTACAATGAACTTAACTACGATGGACTTAGTTACAATGGAATTAGCAACGCTGGACCTAGTTACAATGAACTTAACTAAAATGGACCAAGTTACAATGAACTTAGGTACGATGGACCTAGTTACAGTGAACTTAACTAAGATGGAACTAGTTACTTTGAACTTAACTAACATGGACCTAGTTATAATGAATTTAACTACGATGGACCTAGTTACAATGAACTAAACTACGATTGGCCTAGTTACAATGGACTTAGCTACGATTGACTTAGTTACAATAGACTTAGCTACGATGGACCTAGTAACGATGGACTTAACTACGATTGACCTAGTTACAATGAACTTAGCTACGATGGACCTAGTTACAATTGACTTAACTACGATGGACCTAATTATAATATACTTAGCCACTATGGACCTAGTAACTATGGACTTAACTGCGATGAACCTAGTTACAATGAACTGAACTAAGATGGTCAAAGTTACAATGGACTTAGCTTCGATGGACCTTGTTACAATGGACTAATCTCAGATGGACCTTGTAAAAATTGACTTAGCCACGATGGACCTAGTTACTATGAACTTAACTACGTTGGACCTAGTTACAATGGACTAATCTCAGATGGACCTTGTAAAAATTTACTTAGCCACGATGGACCTAGTTACTATGAACTTAACTACGTTGGACCTAGTTACAACGGACTTAACTACGATGGACCAAGTTACAATGGACTTAGCTACGATGGACCTAGTTACAGTGCCTTAACTAAGATAGACCCAGTTACAATGGACTAATCTCAGATGGACCTTGTAAAAATTGACTTAGCCACGATGGACCTAGTTACTATGAACTTAACTACATTGGACCAAGTTACAATGGACTTAGCTACGATGGACCTAGTTACAGTGCCTTAACTAAGATAGACCCAGTTATAATGGACTTGGCTACGATGGACCTAGTTACAATGAACTTAACTTCGATGGACCTAGTAACAATAGACTTAACTACGATAGTCCTAGTTACAATGGACTTGGCTACGATGGACTAAGTTACAAAGGACTTAACTACGATGGACTTTGTAACAATGAACTTAGTTACGATGGACCTAGTTATAATGGACTTAGCTACGATGGACCTAGTTACAATGGACTTAACTACGATGGACCTAGTTACAATGGACTTAGCTACGATGGACCTAGTTACAAAGGACTTAACTACGATGGACTTAGTTACAAAGGACTTAACTACGATGGACTTTCTAACAATGAACTTAGTTACGATGGACCTAGTTACAAAGTACTTAGCTACGATGGACCTAGTTACAATGGACTTAGCTACGATGGACCTAGTTACAATGGACTTAACTACGATGGACCTAGTTACAATGGACTTAGCTACGATGGACCTAGTTACAATGGACTTAACTACGATGGACTTAGTTACAATGGACTTAACTACGATGGACCTAGTTACAATGGACTTAACTACGATGGACCTAGTTACAATGGACTTAACTACGATGGACCTAGTTACAATGGACTTAACTACGATGGACCTAGTTACAATGGACTTAACTACGATGGACCTAGTTACAATGGACTTAACTACGATGGACCTAGTTACAATGGACTTAACTACGATGGACCTAGTTACAATGGACTTAACTACGATGGACCTAGTTACAATGGACTTAACTACGATGGACCTAGTTACAATGGACTTAACTACGATGGACCTAGTTACAATGAACTTAACTACGATGGACCTAGTTATCATGAACTTAACTACGATGGACTTAGCTACATTTTACTTAGCTACCTTGGACTTTACTACATTTGACTTAACTACATTTGACTTAGATACAATGGGCCTAGGTTCATTGATCTTAACTACAGTGATTTCAGCTTCATTAATTGACTGAGCTACAATGGACGTAGCTTTACTAGTTTTAGTTAAAATGGACTTGATTGCATTATGCTTTGCTCTATTCGGTTTAGTTCCATAAGAATTATTTGCATTTGACCTATGTTATCAGATCTGAGAATCCAGCTACCTTTCACTTTACGGGGTGTTACAGACAGTATCACACATACTAGTTTAACATGTTTGTTTTTAAAGTCCAACATTCAACGATGGGTGTCGATATGATTTTTAAAATATACGTTTTAATTCATCAGAATTCACTATGTCAGTGGTAGGTATTTGGATGTATATGGACGCAAGAACATGACAATAGCAGATTATGTCTTATATGAGGTTGTTTTTCGCTTTTTTTTTTTTTACAGCCGGTGCTGAACACGATTTTGAACAATTTTTCAGGAACCGAGCTGGTAAGTTTTATATACAAGATCTTTCATGTTCTTAAATGCTCAGGGCAGCAGAAAACACAGGCCTAAACATGCAGCAAACTTGCCTGAGCTTTTCACACTTCTAACATTAATACCGAGCCCTGCTCCTTAGATAATGCCAATTGAGACACGAAAGATGAAAAACGGTGTAACACATTTCATTTAGTTTTCCAAATTCCGTTTTCAGAATTTTTGTAATTATGCATTTCGCTTATGCATATCATGATATTTGTTATGAACATTTCTAAAAGACAATGTTAAAACTCAAACAAAGCTTTTTTTTCATGCGTGACTAGAATCCGAAGACAACGGAATAGTCCCCAGTGATGGCCCACCGGCCCAATACGGTGGCCAATGGGCCCGATCTGGTGGCCACCCAGCCTCCACAGGTGGCCCACCAGCCTCCACAAGTGGCCCACCAGCCTCCACAGGTGGCCCAACCCCTGCCACAGCAGCTTCACCTTCTATGCGCTCCTTGAAAAAGATGTTAGCGGAGTTGTTAAAGATTTCTAAAAAATAAACACCTTCTACAAGATTCCTTACACCAGAGGACCCGTGACCAAAGGAACGCCCATCAACGAACGAAATAAACAGATTATTATGTGACTTTGAGCTTTTAAACTAGTACAGGACGCCTTGAAGAGTACCTGCTAGTTACACTACTGCCATATACAATAACAGTATATGTACTATGTTTAACAGATCTTTCAGTCAACCAACATGACTTCCTTTTTTCTATTTGTATCACGCTCATAAACCTATCAACTTATTGCTTTATGTCGGATCATAAAAATGTTTTCGTAGTTTGTCTTAATTCTGTTATAATAAAATTTCTTCCATCAGCAAATAATGGACTTATATTTTTTATTGATAGTGAAACAAGCTCATAAAAACGTTGTCATTGGCACGTCNCTTTTTGTCTGATTAATAACAAGTAAAGCCCGACTTCTTATATGAATAATATGAAAACTTGTACTTCACTAAGTAGTTTTTGATTTACATAAACCTTCCGAGATTTTTCAATATGTGTAGACAGAACAACACTATTTTATCAGACTAAAATATTTTAGTTTTTCCCTTTTTTAGGATTTATACGGACAGTCCAGATTATTCATAAAAAAAGAGTTATTGAAAAGATATTAAACAAAAAACCTTGAAAGTTTTAGTGTATGCGAGACATGATTATTGTGCCTTCAATTTTGATAATAACGAATATATCACCTATTCAAACAACATATGAGTTTATTTAAGCCAAGTTAGCCTGGTAAATCTTATATCTATATTTAACGTTTGTTTCCGCAGTCATGTCGCTGGAGCAATCGGGAACCGTCGGCACTCTCCATAAACGAGAAAATACCTCGGGAGTAGAAGGCGGAGTAATACAGACAAGTTTTGTCTCGTTTACGGAAATTGCCGACGGTTCCCGATTGGTCGCTGGAGTAGTGGCATGGCTCATAATATACACACTTTTCTGACAAATTTGAAATAAACAAGTACTCCAAATTTTTGAAATTCGTAAAGTAAGAGTTTCATTGCAACCTCCCCTTTTTATTCAGCAGTAGTCATGTTCTGTTTAGGTTTTTAACGTATTAGCCCCCTTGCGTCACCGATGAGTCCTAAAAGGACGAAACAGCTGTATGATGCAGGGTAATTTAGTTTTGGCACACTGTATCGATTATTAAGTGTTAAGGGTGCAGTCACCTGCGAGTGTTACATTCATCATACCGTGACACAGATTGTATGATATATACTTACAGGAGTTATCTTTTATTCCTTTAAAATCTCTAAGAAAGTTGGATTTCTTAAAATAAAAAAGATTCCTGTAAATCTTAAGAAGTTAATTACACTACTTACTGTTAATGAAAGCGATAAGATCGATGAGCGATGAGATTTGTGGCGGTATATCTTGATTATGCTGTCGCACAATATTTAAAAATTGTAAGACAAATTCCTTAGAGTTTAAGTGAGTTTGAACATTTTGAAATTATTCCCAGTAATGCAGCAGCGACACATTAACAAAACCAAATGTCATGTCCGGCAGTAAAAGGGATAAGGTCCTTCAATAAGATTCATCAGTTTGGAAATATGTGATATCAAAGTTTTATTTTTTACACAAACACTGTACGTATCATCAAACGTATCGCAACGTTTCAAGACCGACTAGTCCCTTCGTCAAGCTATGACTACGTAAATAAATTAAATAGCGTATATTGAATGCTAGGATGAGTCATAGTTTGAAAAAGGGGCCAGGCAGTCTTGAAACGTTGCGACACGTTTGATACGTACATTGTTTGTGTAAAAAGTAAAACTTTGATATGGATGATGTCCTTGCTTTAGTCATGAACTCATGGGGCGAAATCTCAAGTGGAAGTGATTTTCGGTAGAGCTGTTTAAGATCGTTCCGGTATTCACCTCACCTCATTTGACTCGTACAGTGCAGACTGAACGCTGGACTCTTATTTGAATTGTTAAAAATACTGATTCTACAACATACAAATTCGGTTTAATAGGGTACGAATGGAAGACGGTATAGCGTCCCGTAATGGAAATTAGCTCGTACCATTTGTTGCAAACATCTCACAATGGCGACGAGCTCATGATTAAAAACTTTACACATCTTGTTTGATATCATATCAGCACATCTTTTCTTACGCATGACATCCCCCATAAAGATAAAGCAACCATACCTATTCCATTGGAATTCCAATCGATATTTGAGATGGAGACGTAATACATACCTTCATTGCTAGTTACCTCCCGTCGATCAGACATGTATTGTAAATGCTAGATTTTGTTATATTTCTCACTTATAACTACGTATACTACGTAAAACCTCTGCTGTTTAACTTTTAATTAATTAATAAATTTATTTTTCTTGCAAAAACGACCAAACACTGAAATTACAAAACGTGTCCTAAATGCAAATTGGAACTCTTCTCAGATACAGATACAGATACAAGGCAGAGCGTTGGGATAATGTACGTGACATTATTCTCCTCGGTCTGTTCTTGAACGCAAGCTCAGGAAAAGAAGAAGAATTTAATATTAAGATATTATGATTTTAAATACAAATTAGAATTTGTAAAATTTTGTCATTGTTTGGTTTCCAGAAATTCGCTCAAGGGTCAACTTGTGTATCCTATCTATAATATATAAATAAATGTATATCAGTCTAATATAAATCAACAGATACGTACCTTTATAAAGTGCAGCATACACTGATTGAGGTAAGCGTTCATTCTGTATTTTGGTTAAGACTTTAAGATTTTGTAAATTTTAAATAAACGATTTGTTGCACGTATTGTAGATGTTGCTATGAAAGTGAAATGCATCAGCATTTGTTAGAAAAAAAGTAAAATGAGCCAAAAGATAAACAGTTCGAGGATTGTTATTGTAGCAGTTAACAGATTTCAATATTTTATGTAAATTCGAAATCTGACTTTTGATTAGAAATTTAAATTAATTTCATTTAAATGAAAGACAAATGATTGATTTTTTACACACAGTATGGATGAAAAAAATCAAATAGCGTATGAAGAATGGTAGGATTTGGACGTACAAATGAAGTATATCTTCAAAACGAAGTCAAGCGTAACTCTCCGGGCTAGTCCTGGTCGTCAAATGATCAAAGTCCCCGCGAAATAATTCGCCTCAACTCTGATACTTTTCTAGTATAGATCACTTGGTAATGGAAGGTAGTTATATAACCTGTAACGGTACAGTCAGTAGTTCTTTTTAAACCAACAGCCCTTAGGCTTATTCCGTCTTTGCGTATTGCAGAGTTATCTCCTCTTGTGAGCAGGTATTGATTGTTTTGTCATTGGTTTGTGTGAGAAAATTATGTCGTTTTCTCAAAAATTGATGACGTTATTCTTACAAACCAATGACGTAATAATCAATACCTGCTTACAAGAGAAGATAACTCTGCAATACGCAAAGATGGAATAGGTACATACATATATACATACAACATTATCTAAACATAATTAGAATAGACAGGAGAGTGGCATCACAGTATACATAAAATACCGTTCAATAATGTGCATATACCAATAATTAATTAACAATTACAGTTATGGAACACCACAATACATCAACCTTAAATTAACGCCTCTTAAAAAGCTAAATATAAATATTTTCCTAACTTGGATAGCTCTCTAACATTATTCATACTAAGTAGTTGTATTTATCTAAAAACCGAAGGTTTTCTCTTGATGTCGGCCTTCATATAAGGAGCGGCATTTGGACAGGTACCTAATGATTAAGAAAAACTTAACACTTGGCAAAAATAGAAACAGCACTTGACAACGTCATACAGACATGTATTATTGCTCAATGTGAGACGAGGTTTTTAGTTAAATCAAAATTAGACCAAACGGTTATCCCTCCTAATTGGTGTTTCATACTACTGGGGCGACACAGATGGAATGAAGTGTAGAGGACAATAACTCTGTTTAACCACGGGTAAAACAGCTATTCAACATGACATTGAATAAATTGTTTGAGTGTTTTAACAAATTTGACCCCTTTGACCTTGAATAAGGGTCAAGGGCATTTCCTTTTGTAAAATTTGTCTGGTATAATGCCGCTGTAAAGGCAAAGAAAAAGAAATGGACAAATTTTACCTTCGGACCAGGTGAACTAACAAGAGTAGCGTAGGGCGGAACAATATACGCCCGTCGAATACCATATAGTGTTATATATTAACTTGCATTAAAATAAGATAATAGTGGCTAGCTAGCTATATATAGCATG